AGAGGGAAAATTTTGGGGTACAACACTTATGGAGAAGTTTAATCATACTCACCAATATTAAACGAAGAAATGGTATAAAATGTGAGAAACTTAGTGCATACCAAGGCAGCATGCGAAGGAGCAACAAGAAAGGTAGAAATGAAGAGAAAACAAACAGAGATGGAGAAAGAAATAAGGAGAAAAACAATGGTGTATGAGAAAGCCTTGCGAGTTGCAAATGAGCGCGTCGAGATTTGAACAATTTATCGCCTCACAGGTGAACCAATCTTCAAGTGATGGATTTGGAGGACTTGTTGGATACAGAAGAGTTGATGATCAAGGACTAGATGGCATAAAAGACAAGGAAGACGAAGATAACAAAAATGTTTGAATACATTCTTTTATTTTTATTTTTAAATTTAACTTTGGTGGACATGGAGACTATTTATTTTTATTTCAACTTTAATCATGAAATATTTAATTTTATAACTTTATTTAAATTTTATTTTTACAAAATTTAAAATTTATTTATTATAATAATGATTTATTTATTTTAATTATATTATTATATTTATAATTACATAATTATAATATTTTTATACATTATTACAAACATTAGTTAGGTGTAACCCTACAAAAAAAATACCAGACTCACTTGTGAGGGGTTACCCCTCACAAATACCAAATTGTGACAATGTGTTATGAGGGATTAATCCCAAGCAAATTACTGACACACTCCACCATATTGCAACACCTAGTTTTCGCCTACGTCTGCATGATCGAGACATAAAAAATGGGTCAGATTTTCCGAGGGGTTTAGCCCCTGGAAAATTAGCCACACTGGAAACCCCAAGCAAAATGGTTGTGATGACCTGTATTGAGAGGTGAGTTGACCCCTCGTAAATGTTTGTTTTGTGAGGGGGTTTTTGCACTTGAGGGGGGTTTAGCCCCTAGAAAAACAATAATTTTCTTTTCGTGGGGGTGAGGGTGGGTCACCAAGAATTAATGTTCCTTGATGTTTTACAAGCCTTTAAGGTAAACATCAAACACCTTATATGGTTGGTGAAGCGAGAATATCCCTTGTCCACAATCCCCGCTACCAGAGGTTCATGTCATAACGAAGAGGTTGAAGTATAATCTCAAATTCGTCAATTTCTCCTGACACTCTCATAATTATACTAGAATACCTTGACAAAGGCCCAAGCTACCTAATTCAATTAGGACGAAGATATTCTTAAATGATTCAATACCCCTTCTGAGAAGCCATTAAAGGGTAGCTTAAACCTTTGCATGTAAAATAAACATTCATAGAGAAGTATATAACATCCATTAAAGAACCTACATATCCTCTTGCGAAGGTCGACATGAGAAACAATTCAATCAGAGGAAGATCCCACATTTGTATAAGTCCCCTCCAAACTGGAAGCACTACTGAAGCTAGAAACCATTCCTACTATAACTCAGCCTTCACCCAATGGTAATGAGTAGCATCATCAGGAAGTATGAGACCTTAATATTCCTTTCAAACCATATCCTCCCAACTATAATGAAAAATATAATGTTGGTCATGAATTTGAGAATGTTTCAGAAGTCAAAATGATCCCAAACTGCTTTATCATTTGGATCCCGACCATTTACCGACCTAAATGAACTAATAAAGAGACGAGCCTTAGGTTCATCCCAATTAATCTCACCAGAATCCATATTTGTTGTATGTTGTGTGGTAGTGTTTACCGTGGTAATTGGTAAACAACCGCTGATCTTCCAAATAGTTACTTATTTGGTTACTCGCAGGATCGATCAGATTGATCCTAAGACATGGTTGATTTTGGGGTTTTGATTAAGTTTGATAAAGGTTAAATAACAAGGAAATAAAGAAGCTTTATGTAAATTGCATGAAGAATGTAAATTGCATGAAGAAGTGGACTTGATAAATAAAGGAAGGCTTGAAATAAAGGCTTCGACAAGAAAAGTAAAGGAGAAAGCAAGTAAAGTTTCTGGAAAATAAATGACTTTGATTAATAAAAGTGGTGTTTCACACATATATTCTCAACAATTCTTTCTCACACGCTGGGTACTCGAATCTATATGAGTGACTTTGTATATAATTGTGAACACACGCGAAAAACTGCGTGAACTACTAATATTTATACTAAACATCCCAAGTAACCGTCGGGCAGTTACACTGCTTCGAGATGACTCCACTTGGCACGTTCTCAGCGTTCGACGTTCCAGATCTTTGCACGTTTCACTTGGTAACTGCTGGGAACCGTTTTCCCTCCAAACGCTTGAATTTCAAACCGTTCCACTCTGAACAATCGAACACCTTCGTCGAGAAGCATCTTCGATGAGAAACACCTTCGACGTCGAAGGCAACCAAATTCTCCCTTGGGAGAAATCCTCTAAGTACATTGCCATCTTCTGATGGGCATTTCGACAGACCCAGCTGGTCGAAAACATCTTTCAGCTTTAATGGCTGATATTAATAAAAACAAGGGTGTCGATTTTAGGAGTCAACAGGTAGAAGAGGAACAAACATCAACATCCTTAGTAACACGACGATCATAGTGTGTCCCTCTGATTCCTTCTATAGAACCGTCTAGACTTATTCCAAAATGTGAACTCTAAAGTTCACTACCATCTTCAATAGATCCTCAACTAGAGGCATAAATATCATTGAGGGCGATTAAGTTCACAATGGGTTGGTTAACTACCAAAGAACCTATATTTGGTGATTTTAGGTCTACTATTCCAATGTGGGATGAGGCATCACTTATATCTTCACCACTAGGCATGTCAACAAGATTTGAATGTTTATTTCTCACCTCATCCATGCATATAACAAGGAAGAAAAACAACAATTGTAAGCAAAAAAGGAGAAATAATATTTGGAAAAAATTGGAAATTTTAGGAAACAGTTAAGACGAAGGGTTGCTTGCAAGTGTGGTGAACCAAAGGAATGTGAAATCCAAAGAAAAAAGGAACATACAAAATAGGAGTAATCGAAGCTCAAGGAGAAGCAGCCATAGTTTGTAAAAGGAAGAGAAAATCACAGTTTGCGCAAAGAAGTAGAAAAGTTATTGGAAAGAAGATATGGCCTTAAATAGGGAGGCGAGACAAGAAAATAAGTTGCCCGAAGAAGAGTCATTTTGCGAAGCATCTCAATAATAAGGCTAGCATTTAATGTGCTTATTGTTTCTAAGGATTCTCACGCCGACTCAAGTCTTTTCTAGTTCTGCAAATATTGAACTCGTCATAGGGAACCCGACCTAGTTTTATGAAAGAATTTATGTTTCTATGTCGCAATAAGCCTTGGGACAACTATTCTATACATACCATAAACCTGATAAAGAGAAGGCCCAATCATCAACTGCAAGCATTCTTACTAAGGCGTCGAGGGTACAACGCAAGCAACGCCTGAAACCCCGCACTCGAAATGCCATACATGTACTATCATCTACCATTAGATATCATCTGACACCCATCCACCAGGCATTCCATGATGGGAGTACAATGTATTTCTAAGTGACCTCTCTCTCTCTCTCTCTATATATATATATATATATATATATATATATATATATATATATGGAATCTCATACAAAGCTGGAAGTATATTATAACCATAATTCACTCTACTCCATTATATTCTTTAAATTACTTTAAATTACTTGAGGATAAGAGTGTTAACATTGTAGGTTCACCCCATTCTACTGCATCAAAAATTCACTCCACGACATTAAGAAGTCACTTCATCAACCATTTTAATGCCGAAACAATGGTTATTTAGTTTTTCTTTTTAAATTTATACAATATATCAAATAAAATATTCACAAAATAGAAGTATTAATTTATATTGAAAATTTGTTTTTCATTATTTACAAAAATAATAATAATAATAATAATAATAATAATAATAATAATAATAATAGTAATTGAGAATAATTGTTATGATCTGTCTGTGTAAAATATTTTATGTGAGTTCATTATAATCATTCATTCACAAGTATTATTTTATGTGACTAAAGAAAAATTCAAATATCTACAAAAATTTAATAGTTATGATTCACTGATAATGTAAAACTTCTTTATACTGTGAGTGTATTTCAATTTAATTCATAATACAAATATAATAATAAGAAAAAAATACACTCACCTTCGCTGAGGTTTGTTAAAAAGACATAGACACCTGCTCTAGTTTTAAATCATATACTGACCTCTTCTAAGAATACATATACTAACGGAAAGTTGTAGTGACAAACCAAAAACCGTAGATAAATGCATCTATACCTACAATTTTTAACTGTCACTAAAAACTATAGTGGGTGCCGGTGTCATTTTAGTAGACCTCGGAGGAGGTCAATACATATTTAAAAATTAGAGGGAGTGTTAGTGTTATTTTAACAGACTTCAGAGGAGGTGAGTATTTTTCTAATAATAATTATTATTATTATAAATAATAATAATAATAATATAATAATAATAATAATAATAATAATAATAATAATAATAATAATAATAATAATAATAATAATAATAATAATAATAATAATGTGCATATTAAGTCAAAATAATAACATTTAATTTATATAAAGAAAAAAGTTAAATGCAATTTTTTAGGTTTGGTTTTTATTATTTTTTAATAAAAATATGATAAAGTGTGCTTAAATATTATTTAAGGAGTGAAAATAAAAAAAAATTATATATATATATATATATATATATATGAAAAAATTATATATTTATCATATTTTTATTAAAAAAATAGTAAGAACCACAAATAAAAAATTGTATATAAGTTTTCTCATATTAAAATCAAATAATTTATTGATTTTACTTTTTAAAAGATCTAATTGACTGAAAGCATGCCTAAAAAAGTTTATATATTCAGTATATTGAATTTTAGTCAATGAATTTTGAAATATTTTCTTAGTAATTTACATATCAGAAATTTTGTCATAATCCGATTTCTCTCTAAATATACATCTGTTTTCCTCACAAGTTCCATATATCATCAAAACATGAAGATTTCAAGATTTGAAAATTTCTATGTAATTTTCTTTCCGTATACACATCTATTTATTTTATTAACTTTTTTTGTTGTAGTTATTATTATTATTATTATTTTAGTATATAGACTTATCATTGTTCTGTTTAGGTTATTGGTGTGATTTCTATAGTTCTGATTTTGGGATCAGTAGTAGAATGTGGAATACCAAGTAATGAATTGAACGGTTTCAATTATCCTGCAATCAACTGCAGAAAACACAGTGCAGTTTTGACAGATTTTGGTGGTGTTGGTGATGGAAAAACCTCTAATACAAAGGCTTTTAATTCAGCAATAACTAACCTAAGCCAATATGCAAATGATGGTGGTGCACAACTTATTGTTCCACCAGGTAAATGGTTAACCGGAAGCTTCAACCTCACAAGCCATTTCACTCTTTTTCTCCAAAAAGATGCTGTCATTCTTGCATCTCAGGTATATATATATATATATATATATATATATATATATATATATATATATATATATATATATATGATGATGATTTTTATTTTGCATCATTAGGAAATTTGATAATCAATTAAAAGGGAATTTATATTACACAGGATGAATCAGAATGGCCTCAACTTCCTGTTTTCCCATCTTATGGAAGAAGTAAAGATGCACCTGCTGGATGGTCTAGCAGTCTCATATTTGGAACTAATCTCACTGATGTGGTAATTACTGGTAACAATGGGACAATTGATGGACAAGGATCATATTGGTGGAAAAAGTTCCACAAGCATCAATTGAAAATTACTAGACCTAACATGATTGATCTCATGTACTCTAATCAAATTCAAATATCTAATCTTACTTTGGTTAATTCCCCGGCTTGGTTTGTCCATCCAATTTACAGCAGGTATGATAATGCAACGTTTTCAATTATGTATATATTAGTTCATTCTTCTGATCAACCTTTATTGGTTCAGTGACATAATTATAAATGGACTCACCATCCTTGCACCAATTGACTCTCCAAACACAGATGGCATAGACCCCGGTAAGCTTTAGTTTCTTAAATTATCATCGGTGTCACTATGTTTCTTATGAAACTACTAACAACAACAACATGTTTTCCAACTTTTTTTTCCTTCTCCGCAGATTCAAGTACAAATGTTAGGATTGAAGACAACTATATTGTCTCTGGTGATGATTGCATTGCCATAAAAAGTGGATGGGATGAGTATGGAATCAAAGTTGGAAAGCCATCTGAACAAATTATCATAAGAAGGTTAACATGTATATCACCTGATAGTGCTATGGTTGCATTAGGGAGTGAAATGTCAGGTGGAATCCAAGATGTTAGAGTTGAAGATGTAACTGCTATCAACACTGAATCGGCTGTTAGAATCAAAACAGCCGTTGGTAGAGGCGCATTCGTGAAGGACATTTTTGTTAAAAGAATGAACTTGAAGACAATGAAATATGTGTTTTGGATGACAGGTGATTATAAATCACACCCTGACGAGGGATATGACCCAAAAGCATTGCCTAAAATTAGTGGAATTAATTATAGAGATGTTACTGCTAAGAATGTGACATATGCGGCAAAACTAGAAGGGATTTCAAATGATCCTTTTACAGGAATATGTATTTCTAATGTGACTATTGAAATGAGTGCACAGAAGAAGCTTCCATGGAATTGCACAGACGTTGCAGGAGTTACAAGTAATGTGAGCCCTAAACCTTGTGAGTTGCTGCCAGAGAAAGAGAGGCTGGACTGTCCTTTTCCCAGTGACAAACTGCCCATTGAAAATGTTCGGTTCAAGACCTGTACCTTTCAAAGTAGTGTCTTCTCATAATTTGGATGTAATATTTTGTTTAATAAAATAATATTGATATATTTGAATTGAACGTTAATTTTATCCTATACTAGAGTACTATAGTACGAGAGGTGTATTTTCTTAATTTCTTTTCTTAATCGAATATATTTAGTCCATCGTAGACTATATAATGGATTCATGATAGACACTCTATGTTAGAAAACTTTGCCAAATTTCTACAAAGTCAGATTAATGAAAAACGATAAATGCAGAATAATAAAATACAAAGATTGATAATAGAGTTCGGTCAAGTGTGTCTACGTATTGAAAAGAGATATTTACGCAAAGTGTTTACAAACACTCCCAATCTCTCACTAACCAAAACCCAATTATACCAAAGAATTTCACTAATTAGAAATCTCTCTAAGTCTCTTGAAATTCTCTAAGGTTGAGATGAATTGAATGCTTTGTTTATGGTTCTATTTATAGGAGAAGTAAGTCAAATGTGTCTTACATGCATGAAGACACTTGTCTTTTTCCTTCCATGCAAAACACAAGTGTCCCTTACAAAGCATGCAACATAACAAGTGTTTCTCATGCACTACATCATCCTTTGTCGTCCATACAAAGCACCAAGTATCATTTGCAAAGCATGCACCATAACATGTGTTACTCATACACCTTGCTTCTTGGTTAAGATAGTAGATAGCTTCTAATATTATTAACTAACAATCTCCCACTTGAAGATTGATTTCAATCGGTCTTCACACATCAATTATGCATCTGCTGACACAGCAAAATGGTAAGCAAAAGATTGGAAGTATTCCGGGTTTTATCGTATCCACAGAGATCGGTGCAAGGGAAAGAACGCCATTCAACAATTTTTATGTTTCTGAGTTTGATTTTAAATGGTTTGTAAGGAAAGGGGTAAAAACCATTGACAAGAAAATAAATACACTCTTCAGAGAGGAGAAACTTTTCAGGCATGAATATAAACAACTCGTCACAAACTTAAACATATCGATCAGTTGCCCTCAACCTACAATACTCGTCAAAATCATCAAGTATCTCTCAAGATGTACCACAATAGAGGTTATGTCTAACACAAAGTAGAAGACAACTTTATTACTCGCGTCAGCGATCTCTCTGCAACACAAACAAAACGAAGGCATTAAGCTCCGACACCCACAATGATTATTAGCTCTAAATCTATTTCTAGAATCTAGAAACTAATAGATATCAATCCCTAATTAGAATTTGTGAGGTATATGTCTATAACAACCCAAATCCAAAGATAAAGCAAAAATATTAAGGAAGATATCGAGATTGATTTGTAAAGAAAATTTTATACAACACCATGATCAATACATATACATATGTTCAAAGTAAATCTACAAATAAAACCCAACAAATACAGAAATACATACAGAAGAAAAGAAGAAAAACCAAACATCTCACGATTGTCAGCGCCAATTGATGAGAAATCCGACTTCGGATCATCCAAATGCAAGCTCCAATATAATTTTCTAGCTCTCTCTACCAAAGAATGAAGGTTGATGGTGTTGAGATTCAAAAATATCTAACTCATACCTAAAAATTATGTTTTTAGCCCTAAAACACTTGATACTGCAAAAAAAGTGCATTTCCACGCTTTTGGGGCGCCACTGGCTCGCCCGGCGAGCTCGGAGTGACGCTGACAACAAACAGAAAAAATCAGCACTTATTTCTGCCATTACTTGAGAATCGTAACTCCGATTTACATACGGTCGGAAGCATTGAAAAGATTATTCAATGGACTATCTAACAATGACTAAATATCAATACTTGAATACCTAAAAAATGAGATAAAAACATTTAAACTCAATGATATTTACACGATAGCACAATATATATACTATAACGTAAAATATACCGAATATATACTAAAGTTTATGTTTATTGACAAAAGACAAACGAATTAAGCCGATGAATGATAATTATTCACACTCAAATTCATAACAATTTAGCATTGATCAGCAGCAGCCTTCTCTGGTTTGTTACTCTAGCAGGCCTACTGAAGTTGAGCATAACTTCAGTTTGTCAATGGTTACCACCTTTGTCAACATGTCTGCTGGATTCTTTCTTCCTTCAATGTTAATACCACATCTTAAAGAAGAGATCTGATGAAGTGATAATGAAGATCAATGTGCTTTGATCTTGAATGAAATGTTGAATTCCTTGCAAGATGTATTTCACTTTGACTGTCACTGTGTAAGGCACTTTCCTTCTGGATGAAACCCAACTCTGCCAACAATCCTTGAAGCCATATCAACTTTTTGTTGGATTCAGTTATTGCTACATATTCAGCCTCTATTGTGTATGTATTAACAATTTATTGTATCCTCGATGTCCAACTAACTATTGTAGTACCAATAATGAATATGTAACCAGTAGTACTTCTTTGGTAATCGAACTCACCTGCAAAGTCTCCATCTACGTAGCCTTTTACTTTAATTTCTCCTTTAGTTAAGTACAAACACTTCTATGTGGCATCTTGTAGCTACCTCAAAATCCACTTAACTACTTCCCAATGACCTTTACCGTGATTTGACATAAACCTGCTAACAACTCCCACTGCATGGCTAATGTTTGGCCTCGTACAGACCATTGCGTATATTGGGCTTCCTATGGCTGAGGCATATGGAATCGCAACCATGAGGTATTTCTCCTCCTCTGTTTGAAGTGATTATTCCTTGGATAAGCGAAAATAGTTTGCCAAATATGTGTTAACGGCGTCGATCATGTTAAATCTTTGCAAAACAAAGTTGATGTACTCTACCTGAGATGATTGTAAAACTCCTTTTTTATTATCGCTTGTGATTTGTATTCCAAGGATCTTATTTGCAGGGCCCAAGTCTTTCATGTCAAATCCTTTTGGAAACTGCATCTTCAAGTGTTATGTTGGGTATGTTGAAGATTAATAATGAATTTCTAGACAATATCAGAGAAACTCAGAAGTTGGATGTGAAACTGGTAGATTCGATGGTTGGGATCGATCAGTCTGAGAATAGTGATTTTAAGTTAGATGCGCAAGGTGTGTTGATATTTTGTAATCAGATTTGTATTCTTGATGATGTTGAGATGAAGAAAGGGATACTTGAGGAGAGTCATAGAAGTAAGTTGAGTATTCATCCAGGAGCTACAAAGATGTATTAGGATTTGAAGAATTTATTTTGGTGGCATGGGATGAAGAGTGATGTGACTCGGTTTGTGTATGCATGTTTGACTTGTAGAAGTCAAAAGTTAAACATCAGAAGCCTGCAGGGTTGATGCAACCGTTAGAAGTTCCAGAATGGAAATGGGATAGCATTTCAATGGACTTTATGACGGGGTCACCTAATACTTTAAGAGGACATGATTCGATTTGGGTGATTTTTGATAGGCTTACAAAGTCGGCTCATTTTATTCCTATTAACATCAGTTTTCCAGTGTCGAAGTTGGCTGAGACTTACACTAGTGTAATTGTGAAGCTACATGGTGTTCCTTTGTGCATTGTTTCGGATAGAAATCTGAGATTTACTTCTGATTTTTGGAAGAGTTTGCAAGAAGCGTTGGGTTCTAAGTTGAGGTTGAGTTCAATGTATCATCCTCAGAAAGATGGTCAGACTGGACAAACTATTCAATCGTTGGAAGATTTGTTGAGGGCATGTGTTCTTGAGCAGGGAGGTTCGTGGGATATTTACCTTCTGTTGATAGAGTTTACTTATAATAACAGTTACCATTCTAGTATTGGGATGGCACTGTTTGAAGTGTTGTATGGTCGAAGATGTAGAACTCCTTTATGTTGGCATGAATCTAGAGAAAGTGTAGTACTTGAACCTGAACTTGTTCGTGAGACTACTGAGAAGGTGAAGTTGATTCGAGAAAAGATGAAAGCTTCCCAAAGTAGACAGAAGAGTTATCATGACAAGCGAAGGAAAGATTTAGAGTTTCAAGCGGGTGACCATGTGTTTTTAAGAGTCACACATGTGATTGGTGTTGCACGAGCATTGAAGTCTAAGAAGCTCACTTCTCGTTTTATTGGTCCATATCAGATTCTGGAGAGAGTTGGGAATGTTGCTTATAGAGTGGCTTTACCGTCTAATATTTTGAATTTGTATGATGTGTTTCTCGTGTCACAACTCCGGAAGTATATTTCAGATCCATCTCATGTGATTCATATGGAGGATGTGCAAGTGAGGGATAACCTTACTGTGGAGACGATGCTTGTACGGATCGCGGATAATGAAATAAAGACTCTGAGGAGAAAAGAGATTGCTTTGGTTAAAGTGGTTTGGCTAGGAGCTGCCGGAGAAAGCATGACTTGGGAGTTGGAAACCAATATGCGGGACTCCTATCTTGAGTTGTTTGATTAAGGTAAATTTTCGAGGACGAAAATATTCTAAGTAGGGGAGAGTTGTAACGCTCCTAATTTAATTAATTATTTAATTAAATTATTTTTGGGTTATTTGTGAAGTCGTGTTATGATGATAGATGTTGTGTTATGATTAGTTGGATTTAATTATTCTATTAAGTTGTGAAATAATATTAGAATAATAATATTATTTGACGTGGGCTTATTTTAAGGATTAGAAGTAGTAAAAAGGGGGTGTAGGAATTTTAAGCCTATTAAGACATAATGAGAATTATAGGGTTATTATAGTAGTTATTTAGAATTAATAAGGAAAAGAAGTAACAGTAAGAAGCGAAGGAAATAAGGGTTGGAAGAGAATGTGAAAGTTGCAGAAAAGAAGGAAAAAAGCAAAATGGAATTCAATCAAAAAAGTTGTAGAGCAACCTTCAATCCAAGGTAAGGGTGGGGTTCTGACTCTATAATAGGGATTATGATGAGTAGTATGTGGGATTGAATTTGAAAAAAAAATTGTTTATGATTGAAATGTATATATATATATATATATATATATATATATATATATATATATATATATATATATATATATATATATATATATATATATATATATATATATATATATATATATATATATATATATATATAT